TTAGAAGCAAACAAATGGTCAACCAAAAAGTAATAATAATATAATATAATATAATATAATATAATATAATATAATATAATATAATATAATATAATATAATATAATATAATACAATACAATACAATATAATATAATATTTTTTTTAACTGTCAAGCAAATAAAAAACAATATCTAGTCCAAACCATAAACCATATTATAACCATTTCAACAAACCATAATTATTAAAAGTAAATGATAATAATAACATCAATATAATACAATTCATTTTGCAATTGATAATCATAATAAAACAAACCAGTACTGCATTAGAAGGGGGAACATTTGTATAAAAATAATGATCGTTTTATTAAATATCTGATTGTAATAACTCACTGTTAAATGAAATATCAAACTGGCATCATGTAAATTATTTAGCCATGAATAAACGTAAAAAATATGTGTCTATATACACACAAGACGGATTTCTGTAGATTCCAAATACTAATAATTGTATTAAAATTGCAATAGAAAATATGCTTCACAAGCACTACCTTGCGCAATACTTTTCCTTCTCTGCTTTTTCCTGGAATTGCATCCCAACTACATCATGCGGACATCCACAGACATGTTTCTTCCCTGATCATGTCGACCACAGACCACAGAGAGATGAATTGCTCATTGGAGATGGCTCTTGTGCCATAATGGAAAGCTTTTGCATAAATGCTGACAGGGGTGGTCTGTCCCTTTAATTTCAGTGAATTATATGCATAAACCATTTAAAGAGTGGACCAAAATTCTTTAGTATGAGGATAAAAGGCGTTTGAGGTGGCTTTATTTGAATGGAAAGCCTCTATTCTATCTAGAGAAGTCCCATTTAGGGACACGTCTCTTTTATATAAGGTAATAGCACTGGGGATTTGACTTCCTAATGGAGATGTTTAAATGAAGCTTATGGTCTACTTCCCCCCAAATCTGACTAGTTCAGGAAGATAAATTCCCCTGTCAAGGTCGAGATGATCAAACAGATTACAATTATTTTATCCCTCGTCTTTATTAATGAGCACTGTCTTTCACAGTTATGTCGACTAATCAGGATAGATGATATGTCAACCTCCAGGTTTGTTGTTTTCATGTATTTAAGGAGTTGTGGGGGTTCATAATTTGAGAGATAATAAAACCGTACAGCTTGTCAGTAGAGAAACTAGGCTTAAAAAGGTCACGTTGTATGTGTGAATAAAACGAGCAAAGAGAGTGATATGTTGCATTTAAATATCTGCATTTATCACACAGCTGAATCCTTGTTCCCAAAGAAAACAACAAACAAAAGAGGTTGGTTTAATGATCAAAACTAATGAAGACGGCATTTATAAGCTTTGATGTGTTTACTCCAATATTAGTTCTGTGCTGAGCTGCTCTTAAAGGGACAGCACACCTTAACCACCCCTAGAGTCCCCATTAAATTATTTTTTAAACTTTTATTATGAATAAGCCTAAAGTTACTGTATATGTGTTGTCAAAACTATCGATATATCAACTAATATCGATACTGAAATATTTAAAAGGATACAATCCTGCTTTTTTTTAAATCATACTTTAGAATAATGATAAAAGTACAACTTTGTTATAGTGATATTACACTTATGCATGTTGTCCTTTTTTGCTAAATCTCCAAAGTTAATATAGGTAATCTTCCTCAGTAATAATATGAAGATGATTTAATATTTAGTTTCAATCCTAAAATAATACAAGATTTTATTTTTTTCTAGTAATCCATTGCCTTTTGGACTTAAGGACTGCTGACATTCCTGGTGTAAACTGAAATTTTACTTGAAAATGCAAAAACATTTCATGGTTTAGTTAATTTACTTTTACTTTTTACGTCATCATGTAGTCTTAATGTTGTGTCATTTATTCCTTGTAGTATCGATAATGTTATCAATTATTGATATATTTTAATATATTGTATCGCAGTTGGAAATTTCAGCATCATGACAACACTGGTATGTATTATCAATTGTGTTCCAACATAATGAAAAAAAAAACATTTAGACGATATAGGCATTAACTTTCGTCAATAAAAGCAGTGACTTAGATGACATCACTCAGCACTTCAGCTTCTCGTTAGATTTGATGTCCAATCAAATGCAGTCTAGATTCTGAAGTGCCAGTTCATTCCCTTGATAAATAAATGACTAAGCTGACGGAAAAGGAATGCATGAATGAATGAATGAATGAATGCATGAATGAATGAATGAATGAATGAATGAATGAATTAATTAATTATTAATTAATTAATGAATATAGTAAATGGCACAAAGTGCACTGTACAGGTGATAAACTATTCAAACAGTGTAAAAATGCTTTCCACTGGGGTTATTGACAGAATATAACGAAGCAATATTGTTTATTTCCATTTAGTCTTAGTGATTAAACAGACGTAAGGTTATATAAAAAACACACACAGATTTTGATCATTTTCATGCTTTAGTGCTTTTTGTGCACTAAAGGAAGTTGAAAGTGTAAAAACATAATAGATTCACCATTTAAGCTTGTGAAAACAGCAGATCCCTATCTTCCTGAACAGCTTCCATCTTCCTGAGAAATGCAGTAAATATAGTTGCTCCCCAACACAGCTGGTATCTAACAAGCAGCTTGAAAAAAAAAGCAAATCTTGGTTCCTTCACTCATCACAGTCGCAATAAAACGATGAAGTAATGTGGTAACAGTGTCAAGTGCACATCCCTGACTTGGCCAAGCGCTCTGGCATTTAGCTACTCTCTATCTCCTCTCCCTTCTTTCTTCTCTCTCCATTTCCTTGCATTCGTCAGAGTCGTAACCCCTGTTGTCTCAGCCGAGTGAATCAGAGTGAGCCCCTGGCACAGAATGAAGGCAAAGTCAACAAGAATTAAGTTTCAGTGCAACTGTTTACTCAACTGTGGCCTGCAGTTATTGAAATCTTATCCACGGTTTTGTGTGACGACTGCGGTAATGAATTCAGTATGCCTGTGATTTTCGAACTGACAACATCACGCTAAGTCCGAGAAGCGCACAACAGACTGAAGCAATTCAGAGGACAGGAAAAAGCCAAAGCCAGAGCCAATCGCAGATGCTTCGTGTTATTGATTGATGGCGATATACTCTAGTTACAGATTGATCTCAAGCTAAAATCAAGATGTCAAATGGGTTTTATCCCTTTACGTTATCATTCTAATACACAACCAACATCTCACCAAATTAGACACAATGCAAAATCAATATGCCTTGTACGAAATGAAAGAAAAACAAATCAGTGTTGGGTCATTCTTCTTCTTTTTTTTTTTTTTTTTAGATCGGACCTGTCCTGTTTGTTGTTAAAACCCATGTATTGTGCTTTTCAGTTCCAAGACAGCCGTGTTACTCCAATAGACAGCTTCTTCAGAAGCTCCCCATCCCCACCAAACAGCCCTTGACAACATCTCCCATCATGCCGTGGGGTGCAGATAACACACGACTGGCTGATCTTTTCAGTGCTGGCCCGCTCCACACGCTGTCGTGTAGCAAACACAACACTCAGACAGACAGAAAGAGCTCGTCTGTTTATTCCCAGATGTTTTTGGCCACTCTTGGTATATAATAAAAGCGGCAGCAACACTCTACGCTTCGATGCTTTGAAATCTCCACCCGAGTGTTAGGGGTGTTTACAATGCGACAGGTGAAATCTGTGGCGTCCGAATGCGCTGCCTGTCCGTGCATTCCATTGCACCTATGCATTTGTCCATTGCAACATGCGTGATAAATATTTCACCTGAATGCAGATGCAGAGTTGCCGAGATAAACACATTGGCAACCAAAAACACAATCACAGAAAGAGCACTTAGTGCGTTTAAAAATTCAAACCTCTCTCAATATACATAAATAATCATAATAATGTGTTTATGTACTCTGGTCGGAGGGGGTGTGACCATTAAATATTTACGAGCACTTAAAGAGGGAGAGAAGGATGCTGTTGACATGGGTTAATAACAGACAGGTGCAAGAATGAAAGAACGGAAGAGAGGTAGGAACGTAGGTAGGAATGAACAAACGAATAAAGGACAGAGAACAAATGAATTAAAGAAAAAGAAAATGGAGGACCGGAAGGAAAATGTCATAAATGATCAAATTGTAAAAATAGAAAAGAAAAAAAGAAAGGAAAAAAGAAAGAAAGAAAGAAAAAAGAAAGAAAGAAAGAAAGAAAGAAAGAAAGAAAGAAAGAAAGAAAGAAAGAAAGAAAGAAAGAAAGAAATAAAGAAAGAAAGAAAGAAAGAAAGAAAAAAAAAGGAGGAAAAGGAGGTGCTTTAGATTTAAGTAACTATAACTTTGACCTTTCATTCAGTTTGTGGTCTCATTTTATTTGTAACAATGTAAGCTATGACATCATCTTGCATTTTTCTAGAAAAATGCAGTTTAACCATAAGTAACATAGTAAACAATGTAAACATTTAGTCTAGATAAAATGGTGAGATAAACATAAATAACCATTTATAATGCAACACTATTGTGTTGGTGGACTAAAAGTGTTTGATGAGATGTTGTTCTGAGAACTCTTACCTTTCAAAATAAACCCTGATGTCGAGCATTGAATGTGTTTGTGTGTCTTGTTGTTACGATGATATGTACTCCATATCTAACAAGCGTTTTGCACACAACTTGCACAAATTTAGCACATACATTCTTTATAAGCTTCCCATTGAAAAACAACTAGCTGCGATGGCTGCTTGAGGGTTGTAGCTTTAGACTGATGTATAGTTTTTCAATATTACTTGTGTTCCTTTTGATGTAATCTAGTCGTAAACAATGAAATGTGCAAAGACAGCACCCCAGTGAAATAAAAGAATAAAAATAGAAAAAGAAAGAAACAATTGACACATTAAGATTGTAAGCATGGTGATGAACAAAAGAAAAGAAATAAAATAGCAAGAAAGTATTAAAGAAAAAGAAAGAAAATAGGAATTAAGACTGAATTGAAGGAAGCAATCATTGGAAGGAGCAGAAAGTCAAACCTGGTGCTGCTGGAAGTTGATGATGTCAGACGCTGTGATGTCAGAGGAAGGAGTGGTGCTCTTGGACCGAACTTCTCGGTGTCCCTCCACACTGGGCGGAGCGCCGTTCTGATGGGCCGTTCCGTTTGCCGCCTCTGTCCCCGACTCTTGCATCATGACTTAAAAACCTGCAGCACAGAAACACAAACAAGCAAACAAATATTCTTAAATCAATTTCTCACACAAACAGTACAGTTCACTTTTCCCTTCTTTCTCTGTCGGTGCAGTCAACTGCTTTGTTTTTTAAGCATGACTGTGGTTCAATAATAATAGAAGCAACATAAAACAAAGCATATGACACTTTCATATAGTATCTTTCATCACATCACAAGATGCAAAGGTGCATTCTCAAAGGGAACAACAACCAAGAAACAACATGTGAAAAAAGGACAACCTAGTAACTTTGATTTGGTTAGCTTTCTTCAGCAAGTATTGAGATTTCACTCCCGAAGAGACATTGGAAGCTGATCTTATTATTCATTAATGCCCAATAATCTGCATATCTCCACCCACTGTCTATTATTTCTTATTACTCACAATAGCAACTATTTAAATGTGCCATGTCTGTGCCAGAATCAAACTTTACAAATGTTCAGTTGTTGGTTGTATCAACAAACCTAGCCCACAGACTCCAGATATCCAAGAAACTCAGATCATTGTGGCTGAATTGCATCTTGAAGAAAATATGAAGAAAATATGATGTTAGTAAAGTGTTATATATTCACACCAAATCTTGACCTAAAATTTAGCAGACACACTTTAGTTACAACAATTAAGAATTAGTAATATAAAGATGTCCCCCATAAAAGAAACCAGCGTTTCCTATTTCTCTTGCATCTTTCCACTGAGCCTGAAAGACTAAAGCAACAGCAAAAAGCGAATGAGATGAGAACCCAACCTCGGTCACGTCTCAGCAGAGAGGCCCAAGAAAACACACTCGCTCACAAACAAAACTTGTTCAAGTGAAATGGATATATTTACTTGCATTGCTCCCAGAAGAACCACAAGCCGATGGATTTTTAATGGGAAACAGGGCAGGGGAGTTGTTCAGATTACAAATCTCCAGAATCAAAACTTCTCAGCAAACGTTCGCATCCTGGGTGTTGAGTTAATGCCACGGTCCTAGATCCCGCACGCAAATAAACAAAGCTGAAAATATTCCGATGTACTTCCAAAGTACTTTCCAATAATACATTAGACTTTAATGACGCCTGTTCTGACACACAAGGCTTTTTGTTCTTCCAAACGCTTCCAGGCTAACAGTCCAGCCACGCAATCCCAAAAGTCTACTTCTCTCCTTCAACATACCGATCCATGTCGTCCAGAGACAGACACTTAAGATTTATATCTTTTGCATTCATTGAGGCCCTTGTTGGCGAGGAGTGCCTTGTAGCCCTGTTTCAGACCATCTTAATGAAGCTGACCAAGTCAGGCAGAAGTAAATTAACTTGGCTTATTAATTATTGATATGAGGCAGAATGAATGCCCTTAAAGCAGTGGGTGCAAATCACACAGGCAGGTGAAAATTGAAAAGAATTCAGATTTATAATGCTGGCCCTCTCAGACAGTAATAAGGCAGATGATAATTGCTTAGCCAGGTTTGTAGGGAGAGGCGATTACACGAACACATTGGGCACTGACCCATCCCATCTGGACCAATAAAAAGCTATGCATCTTCCTTTGTCTGTTTTTGAGAAAGTTGATGTACTGTAAACAAACTAGAACAAATTGTACCTCAATAACACTAGAAACCTTTTCTCAGAGCTTAACGTTAACCAAAAAGATTCCAATGACATTTTTTTAGGCATCTCTGTCATTTTTGGGTCATTTCCCCATTGTCATTTTAAATGATTTTTAATAGAAAATGTTTATAGTAATTTAGCTTACCATAAAGCACAATCTGATACAGTTAAACTGGATAACAATCTGAATGTATCTGCCCCTCAGGTGAAACAAAAAACTTGCCACAATAGGTTTTGAATGGTTTACATCAAAGCACCCAAGTCAGCATTAAATCAAAATATTATCTTCTTTTTGTATACACATATAGTATTGTTTGTAATAAACTGTGTACTTCATGTAAAGAAAATTTGCTCTAAATCTCTATAATCAAATATCATAACCTTCCCTCCCTCATCAAAACAGCTTTTCTTCACTTCTGGTCACATGGAAGGCCTTTAGGGCAGGACTATGAGGGCCTGTAGGGCAGTATAATTAGTAACTGCCATTTAACAATAATGACAATTTTGTGATGGCTGTCAAGTAGAATTCGTGCTGGTTATAATTATGACAATAATATTTTAGATTAGTTATAGATTTGTAGTAACTATCTACTGTATATAGGCTAAATAGGTTGTGTATAGGCTATTTATATAGGCTAAATAGACTGTGATGTTTGCTGCAACCTTTGTTTGAAAGCTGCAATTGCATTTTCTTGTATAATAATCATCTTCACGAGAGTTGTGCATGGGCATGGTTCCACAGCACTGTTGAAGCTAATACAGCTAATACATGAATGGTGCTGAACATGATAACTGTCTCTGTTCATCTGCTCTAGTGTAAACAAATAAATATGAAATACAATTTAATTGTGAATGTTATTAAATGCAATGCAACAAATAAAGAGACAGGTAATAAAATGAGGAGTAATAATAGACTATGATGGAAAAGTATAACCAGTAAGAAAGTCTCATGTAACCTCTGATATCTATGTGTTCTATTTGGGATCATTCTCACAAAACTGGACTTTCAGTATTTGTTTCATCATTCATTTTGCTTTGGCTTAGTCCCTTTATTCATCAGAAGTCACCACAGCGGAATGAACCACCAACTTATCCGGCATGTTTTACACAGCGGATGCCCTTCCAGCTGCAACCTAGTTATGGAAAACATCTATACACACTCGTTCACACTACTACACTACAGCCAATATAGTTTATTTATTTCACCTATAGTGCATGTCTTTGGTCAGTGGGGGAAATCGAAGCGCACAAAGGAAACCTATGTGAAAACGGGGAGAACATGCAAACTCCAAACAAAATTGCCAACTGACCCAGTCAACACTCAAACCAGCAACCTTCTTGCTGTGAGGCAACAGTGCTAACCACTGAGGCACAGAGTTGCCCTCAATCTAAGTGTCTAAAACATCAATTCTAAAAGGGCACATTATATACAGTACAGTATGATATACCTAATCCATACAGTTAAACAGATGAACCACAAAGCACACATACACACGCAAAACAACAACAACAACAACAACAACACTGGTACACAATAAATTGTAATACAAAATTATACAGTTTTGCTCCAAACCACATCAATAACATAGGAAAAAATGAAAACTTCTGCATGTTTCTAAAATGCATTCATTTTAATAGTATATTTTGTTTTATTTAAAATATTTCAATATTTTTTAAACACACCTATTTGCAAATTTTCCATGACAGTGAGAACATTGTCCCTTAAACCATTTATAATATTAGTTTTATCTAAAGAAAAAGCCCTACACTATGCAAATAATGTACATGCACAACTAAACTACAGCATGCTCAAAATCATCTTTCAATTAAGTACCCGGTCCTCCCAAAAACAAGCTGCGGCTTGTTTAGCATGCATCTCTCTCTTTCTGTCTCTTTTACGTTTTACTGTCTCATTTGTTCGCTCTCTTTTTTTTCATTGTGTTCCATAAAAGAGGGTGATAATGGCTATTATGCATGCACTGTCATTCCGTACTAAATTTTCATAATTATAAAGGAAGGGCGTAAATTTGCCAATGCGTGGCATCTCTAAAAGTAATCATGAGAATGCGCCGGGGGGCTATTTTAATGTATGCAAAACTAGTGACCCACAATAAAGACGTGAAGCTGCAACGAATGCAAAGTAATGCATGCGCGCGCGTACCCACATCTGAAGAGGGCCAGCTAAAATTAACACCCAATTAATTTCGGAATTGACAAACAAATGAAACCCATAAATCTACTTTCTCATTAAATTTCACCATGGAATAATTCAAAAGCGGCAATATCACAACCTAAAAAAGGGGGATGAAGGAAAATGCCTGTTATCCATCACAAATATCAAATAGATGGGGGGAAAATAACCTGGTGGTAGGGCATTAATAATGTCAACGGCTTTATGAATTAAGCTATTGTTTCACTGTCTTCTCAGTATGATTCCAGCCTGGATTTGTCTTGACTTTTTTTTCATTGTAATTAGTGGTGTAAAGTAACAGATTACAAATACTCAAACTCCTATACAGTAATTGAGTAGTTTTGTCTCAGTAGTTTACGAAGTAGATTTAAAAATGTTTACTTTTACTTTCCCTTGAGTAAATTTTTAGTGCAGTATTGGTACTCCATTTTTTTTTCTTCAGCATGCAGTCACTACTTTATTTTTTTCCTGTCTATGGGGATTAGAAAAATCATTCCTGTGATTCCTGTTCTATCAGATCGATAGAAGGTAAATGGCCTCATAATGAACAACCTCAAGACATGGGTGATTTATAATTGCAGCGAACTGTTTGGAAGCATTAAATGTGTCCAAGAAGATGCCCAAAATGTTTACACATTGACCCAAAGACTGTTTAGATGCATGTCACTGATGAGAAGATGAAGGATGTTTACTGTATGATGACCGAAATGGGCCTAAACATCCAGCAGGCACAAGACCTCAACATGACCTCAGATTGACATTGTACCCCAACATTATGGGATGTTGCATTTTGTTTGGAAATAAAAATCGGGTTGACATCAGAAGCCAACATCAAGCTGACATCAATGTTAAATGGCCAACCTAAAATCAACCAAATATCAACATATAATGATGTTACAGCTTAGCGTTGTGTGAAAATTACCACTATGACGTCTATCAGATGTTGGATTTCGGTTGCCATACCTGACGAATAAAGTTCAGTATTTAACATCAATATTACATTGGTTTAAGATGTTTGTACGACATTGGATTTTGGTCACTTTCTAACCTAAAATCAACCAATCAACGTCATTTGACATCGTTATTAGACATCAAGATAACTGTCCTTAGATGCTGGCTAGACTTGAATTTTGTTCACCTGACATCACAACATAAATCTAACCTAATGTTAATGTCTTATGATGTTGTGTGATAC